TCTTTGTCTAATATTTAAATTTGTTTGATGATCTGAAACATTTAAGTGTGACAAACATGCAAAAAAATAAGAAATCAGGAAGGGGGGAAACACTTTTTCACACAACTGTATATATATATATAGTGGGTACGGAAAGTATTCAGACCCCTTTAAATTTTTCACTCTGTTTCATTGCAGCCATTTGCTAAAATCAAAAAAGTTCATTTTATTTCTCATTAATGTACACTCAGCACCCCATCTTGTCTCATAGTCTGGGAGTCCTTCATGTGTTTTTTGGCAAAGTCTATACGGGCTTTCATATGTCTTGCACTGAGGAGAGGCTTCCGTCGGGCCACTCTGCCATAAAGCCCCGACTGGTGGAGGGCTGCAGTGATAGTTGACTTTGTGGAACTTTCTCCCATCTCCCTACTGCATCTCTGGAGCTCAGCCACAGTGATCTTTGGGTTATTCTTTACCTCTCTCACCAAGGCTCTTCTTCCACGATTGCTCAGTTTGGCTGGACGGCCAGGTCTAGGAAGAGTTCTGGTCGTCCCAAACTTCTTCCATTTGAGGATTATGGAGGCCACAGTGCTCTTAGGAACCTTGAGTGCTGCAGAAATTATTTTGTAACCTTGGCCAGATCTGTGCCTTGCCACAATTCTGTCTCTGAGCTCCTTGGGCAGTTCCTTCGACCTCATGATTCTCATTTGCTCTGACATGCACTGTGAGCTGTAAGGTCTTATATAGACAGGTGTGTGCCTTTCCTAATCAAGTCCAATCAGTTTAATTAAACACAGCTGGACTTTGATGAAGGAGTAGAACCATCTCAGAGGATCAGAAGAAATGGACAGCATGTGAGTTAAATATGAGTGTCACAGCAAAGGGTCTGAATACTTATGACCATGTGATATTTCAGTTTTTCTTTTTTAATAAATTTGCAAAAATTTCTGTCAAGATTTTCTGTCAAGATGGGGTGCTGAGTGTACATTAATGAGAAATAAAATGAACTTTTTTAATTTTAGCAAATGGCTGCAATGAAACAAAGAGTGAAAAATTTAAAGGGGTCTGAATACTTTCCGTACCCACTGTAAATATAGCAACGTAAATAAAACATTACATTTTTTTATAAATCATTATTATTGTTATCAGTTTGTTTTTGATGCTGATAGCTGATAACTCAAACTCAACACTCCGTGCTTATTTGTTGTATCTTGATACATTTAGTTTATAGCCCTTTCTACAGCTCTAATACCATCATTGCCAATCACCTCACAAGTTTCTCTTTCAACACAAATACTGTTTTCTAATTTGCTTAATGTTTTTATTTATTTTTTGATAGCGGTTATGCTATCTACACTTTTTAAGTTCAATATTTAAGATCATTGAATAATAGTTGCATCGATTATAAACAATCTACAAGTCCATGTGTAATAAATAAATAAACATTTTTCAAAAATGACACGTTAGAGCTTCAAAAGAGGAAAGGGTACATATATCAAATTAAAAGTGTACACAAAATGATGCTTTCCAGTGAGTTAGCAAATATAACAAAGGAACAAAAAGACAACAAAAAAATAGCATCTCAGTAAGCAGCCATCATTAGGTTCCAAACCTACAGACTTTCAATGTGAAACCTCTGTAGGATGTGTTTATTTCATTGACAGTACCTTAAAGCTGGCCACACAATGCTCACATTGAAGAAACCAGTAATAACAAGCTGGATTTTAAACATTGAAAAACACAGTCTAGTGTTGCCAACTCTTTTGCCAAGTTGCCAAGTCAGGAACACTGACAGCCTGTTCCTTCAGTCCTCCCTTCAAAGCCACTCCCCAAAAATGGTCACAATGAACGGGCTTATTACAGTCCTGCGACGGCCACAGATTCCAGATACCTTTTTCTTTTTTTGTCAGAGCAATGGGTATATTGATTGATGTCGGCATGTCATGAGAATTTTTAATTTCAAATATGACAAAACAAACGATTTAGAAGAACATTCCCAACCCTAACTTAACTGTGATCCAAAGCAGATGCGATCTGAATGAAATAATAAATAATAATAGTATGTTTGTTAGACAGAGAAAGGAAGAGCATTAGAGTGGTGTGTATATGACTCTTAATCTGACATTATGACAAAATACAATAATCTGGATATCAATTCTAATCCGTTATCCCATAATCTGCTATAAAGAGATAACACACACACACACACACACACACACACACACACACACACACACACACACACACACAGTTGTGGTTTTGTCACTTTTGGGGACACTACATTGATTTACATTCATGTCTTGGAGATTTAACCTAACCCTTCCCTTAACCCCTACCAAACCCTTACCCTGACCTAAATCTAACCTCACCCTAACATTAAACCAAGTCTTTACTCTCAAATGTCAAGATTTAGATATACGTAAAATTGTCCTAATTTTGTCCCAAAAAAAGGCAAGGTCCCACATTGTGAATGTGTGATAAGATTTTAGTCCCCACAGGATCGGATTAACCCACCCACATGCCCACTCATCCCCTCACTCTCTTCCCGTTTTTTTGTGATGGTTTTTATCAAATGTGTTGTGTGTTGTTTGTTTAACGGTCTAAGCCAGGCTTTGGGATATATGTTTCAAAGCCTTTATTGACATGTTGAATGTGTCTGTTATTCAGGATGGCAGTAACCTGCAGATTTTGGGTTTGGTGAAGTCGGATGAAGGATTTTATCAGTGTATAGCTGAAAACTCAGCCGGCAGCTCGCAGGCGATGGCTCAGCTGCTTATCCGAGAGCCAGGTAGGAACACACACACACACACACACACACACACACACACACACACACACACACACACACACACACACACACTCAGCTGATACATGTGGTGTCCCTGTCACCTCTCATTGATAAAAAAAAAAACAACAACCTGCTATCGTCACCTGTTGTCTCCATTCCTGTCCCTGTCGTGACATCATTTCCTCTCCGGGCTCGCTATATGTCCTGTGACATTGCATCTGCACATCTTAATTTGCAGCTCTCTGGGGCAGTTTAATTCTCATGTCGTGTTGCTGTAGTAAGTCTTGTAAATCAATAAATTCTTGTTTACATTTAATGTGAAATCCAGAACATGAGCAGAGTATAAACTCCGTCCTGCTTGATTCTGCATAACTGTGACAGTGTCTGACACTGTGATGAACTTCCTATTACATTCAGAAGTTCAAATAGAACATTGTTCTGACAGCAAAGTAGGTTTTGAATATTTTCCTATTGGATTGTAATGCTTATAGTGCAATTCACATGTGCAATCAGACCATAATGAGAGCAATCTGGCTTGTTATTTTAAAACTAACAAAAGATATACCACTGAAGGAGATTGGATTCATCAAAGGACAAACATTTACTGTCCTCTAATGAGGAATACTGGAAAGAAAAGAAAAACATCTAGTGGCACAAATTCATCATTTTGTTGCACAAATTATTTAAATAGCAAAAGAAGTATTGAAAATGAGCATTAATTACCATTGTGTTTGCACAAATGTGCACTGTTTAATCATGACATATGTATGTCATAATTATAATTAATAATAATAATCCATGATTTGAGGAAATATGAGCTTACAGATCTTAATAATAATAATTATAATAATAATAACAACTGTATTTACATATCCCTTTTAAAACAAAGTTTACAAAGTACTTTGACAGACAAAGCAAAAAAAAGAAAGCAACAAAACAACAGAACGCTCCTGAGGCCCAACAAAGCCACACAGACGAAGGTAAACCCTGATAACACAGTACAATAGATGAAACAATGAAAGCAAGCGATACTATAAAAATAAACTAAGAAATAAATAAATAAAATAAACAATTTCGTAAAATAAAATAATAATATTAATAATAGAACAAGGCAAGATTGTTACGGAAGACACGAGTTCTATTATGAAGGTTACAATACGAGTTTTGCAAGTCATACGAGTTATTATTATTATTACATTATGTGTTATTGAAGTGATAATTAGGAGTTAATTAAGTGATAATTAGGAGTTAAGTTCTGTAAGTCATTAGTATGAGTTATTGAGTTCGTAATTATGTGTTTTTGAAGTCATAGCTAAGAGTTTATTAAGAGATAATTAATAGTTAAGTTTCGTATTTCATAATACCAGTTATTGAAGTCGTAATTTGGTGTTATTGAATTAAAGGTTATCAGTGATGGAGGTAATGATTACGAGTCAACAAAGTGATAATAATCACAAGTTAAAGGCACAATGAGTAGGATTTGATTTGTGTGAAAACACAACCCCAGATCTACTTTGGAACGAGCTTTGTCCGCTCCGAGTTTCGCCGCTTGTTGCTGTTAGCATTTTTTGTCTGCGCTTGTCTTGCCATTTTTGTAACTTCCTCTTGGCATGTGTGCCAATTAACGGCCACCTGGTCGCTACGATAGAGGCCAATGCACAGAAACCGTCTCGAACACGCTGAATAAAAGAGAAAAGAGAAAGTGACAAAGGACAAATGAGGACAGTTCGACATTGTGTCATGTGCTTCCATACTTGAATGACATCACAAAATGTACTTGAGCTCTACCATCAAGCCGTGATTCACCGAGGAGGAAGTGCTCCGTTCTGATGTTTCAGTCCGACTGAGGACAGCCGGAGTCTGGATTTGGCTGTTTGTTTGTTGTGTTGTGTTGTTGTTTGTGTTTGGGTTACAATTCAGTTAGTCATGTGGTCTGCCAGCAGTTACCACCATCTGACACACACACACACACACACACACACACACACACTCACACACACAGACGTGCTCAGCCAGTTTGCAGAACATCTGAGTCAGCGCGATAGAATCACTCTGCATCTAAATGGACCAACAGCTGTGTGTGTGTGTGTGTGTGTGCGAAGATAAAAAAAGGGCAAGAGACATTGATTACAGTTCTATTCACACTGTAGATTATTATGGCTGTGATCCTGGAGGACCCTGTTCATGTGAAACCCAGGTGATTCATATTCAGTGATATCCGTAGACAATAATATCGTTGTTGCTGTTTTCTGTCGGTGCAAAATCACCACTTCCTTCACCTCTTTCACATTAAGAGCCTCCCAGCAGTTTGAGGGGGCTGAATCTCTTCCCCTCTCTGATATGCTTTTATTGTGAAACATGACGAAGACGAGCCAATCAGTGGTTCTGTTGAAAAGAGGAACTCTTTGGATACATGACATACTATTTAGCTACCTGGCTGACAATCATGCGTCTAAGCTAAGTGACTAGCTAACTCACTGTGTTGCTTACCGACTAAAAA